GAGGCTGTGGTGGCTGGGAGTGGCCACTGCACTCCAGTCTGGGCGACAGAGTGAGACTCCAACTCAAAACAAAACAAAACAAAACTAATTTCTTTAAGAAAAGTTGCCCCAAATAGTAAAAGGAACTGCCATAAACCCTTTCACCCAGATTTCCCAAACGCTACCATATCTACCACATTTGCTTTGTATTTCTCTGTCCTGCAAACCCACACTTTGAGTTGTATGAAAGCACACCCAGACATGTTTTAAACATTCATTTAAAAAAGAAGCGGTAAGCTGGGCTCGGTGGCTCAGCCTGTAATCCCGCACCTTTGGGAGGCTGAGGTGAGTGGAATGCCTGAGCCCGCAGGTTCGAGACCCGCCTGGGCAGGCGAGACCTCATCTCTACAATAAATCAAAAAATCAGTCGGGCGTGGTAGCGCATGCCTGTAATTCCGGCTACTCGGAAGGCTGAGGCGGAAGGATGGCCGGAGCCCAGCAGGTCGAGGCTGCGGTGGCCGGAAGCAGCCACTGCACTCCAGTCTGGGTGACAGAGCGAGACTCCAACTCAAAAAAAAAAAAAGAAGCAGTTACAAAGCAGTCTGCATAGTATGAACCCATTTTAAGTTCCATCTACCTGAGACTCCTATCGCTTTTCCACCTGAATGAGAGACACCTGAGCTAGGGTCTTGGTCTTCCAGGTGCTTGCAGGGAAAGAACTGAGAGGACAGGCAGCCTTGTTTAATCAAGCGCAACCTGGCACCTCAAAGTCTACCACTGGAAGGGAGCTTTCCAAAAGGGGAGGAGCAGCTAAACAAACCATTATGTCTTAATCCTCTAATCCCTTTCTTCTTTTTTAAAAGAGATTGGCTCTCACTATGTTGCCCAAGCTGGCCTCTAACTTCTGGACTCAAACAATCCTTCTACCTCAGCCTCCAAGTAGCTGGGACTACAATATGCACCACAGCTTCTAATTCTTTCCTTAAAATTCACTTTCCCCAGAGGGTCTCCAGCTGAGGCTTGCTACTCCTACTAAAAGGAGTCACGTGCTCCATTGAACATTGTGGCCAAAGAATAATTAACAGGTCCTGGCCAGAATTTAAGAAGCACAGGAGAGAGAAGGTTGAAGACATTCAAGGTTAAGACTTCCTCAGAGAACAAGGGATGGCTTAGAACCACAAAAGACATCTATGATAATTGCAGGAATCAAGAAGATGTAGTTTGCAGGTCTCTCCTTGTCCAGCCCTCCCTCAAGTAGACACTTAACACAACGGCAAAGCTCATCATCATCTTCCACCTCCATCTAGGTTCCCAGAGATGAGCTCTCTTCTCCTGCCCATCTGTGACCACCCCACACATCTGGTGTCCTGTATGTAGGCCAACCTCCCAGCAGATACCTCATTC